GACGCGTCGTGTGGCCGGGGACGAAGCGGTTTCGGGTACGAGGATGCGTGACCAGTCCGTGATGGCCATCAAGTCGCAGGACACTTCGCAACGAGCTCCGTTGACCAGATATGCGTGTTGATGACTTTTCCGGTTATCATCACAGCTCGTGTAGCCAAACGACGTTGGTTCTCAGGTTTCTACAAAATTCGACCTGAAACGGAGTGTAAATGTCTGATACCTGTAGAACAAAATTCGTACCGTCGGTGCCCTGTTGGTCACCCTGCAGAAAACCCCAAACTTCTCGAGCGTCGACCTGGGGATACTTGGCCATGGTGTCCACCAAAAGGACAGCATCATTATGATCGGAGAGATTCGATCTCCAGGTCGAAGATGAAGAAGTTTGGGGTTTCCTTAGGATCAACTATGCATTGACGGTATTGGTCTACCGGTAAAATACATTTGCAATGCGTTTCGGGTCGAACTATGATGTAGTAACTGATACCGTCGCTTGGCTACACGAGCTGTGATGATACCCGGCAATATAATCAAAATGAATGTATCTGGTCAACGGAGCTCGTTGCGAAGTGTCCTACGACTTGATGGCCATCACGGACTGGTCGCGCATCCTAGTAGCCAAAGCCGCTTCGTCCCCGGCCGACCACACGACGCATCGTCAACAGACAGCGAAGACAAAAGTGAGAATTTAGGACTTTTGACAGCTAAGACACAAGCCAGATCCAACACTGAAGAGAACGGCACATGACTCGGGAGTACTCCCGAATCTTGCCATCCATGATGTCATGACACAACGTCTGATAACGCCAACAAAATGGTGACGTAACGCACAGGCTCAAATACCAAAATGAAAACGCCGCCATGATGCACTAGCCCACCCTGAGTGGTCGTAGATAGATGCAAACACAGAAACCTTGGAGGGCTGTAGTCAATCAATGTTTGGGAAGGATCGAAGATGCGGGGGCTCAAAATCCTAACCCAAACCACCTCTACAATGATATCCGAATCAAGAGCGGAACAGGGTAGCCAGGGGGACGGCGACTTCGATGGAAAAATCAGGAAAAAGGCACACGGCGTGCGACAAGTAACCAAAACATCCGAACCAATCATCAGACAGGCAGACGGTGACACAGAGACAGAGATTGAGGAAGTTGAGTCGTTGCTTCTACCTCGCGACTCATCGGGAGCCGATATGCATACATACATCGGGGGGTGACCCACAAAGCGTGGGCAAACAGAAAGGAGGTCGCAACAATCAAGCAGTGTGACCGACGACGCTAGCGCAACGTGATTGTACCTCTTCTCTAACATAACCTTGGGGGTACTCGTTATGGAACTATCCGACAACACGTAGGTGCAGGTTGTTCATGCTGCCCTCTTCTTCGTTCTCCTTGGTTGATACGACTCCTTGATTGATCAGGCGATTATTTCCAATCGCCTATAGCATCCAACACAAACTACTCTTGTAGACCAATGCGCACACGCGAACACTGAACACAAGACGGACACATGACTCGCAATAAATCCTACATCTTGCTGTGACGTCATAACACAACGACGTGTGATAACGCCAATTACCATGCATGGTAGTAGCGCACAATCACAGGGCTACCTCCAAATAATACCATTTTCAAGGTGAAGCTCTCGATGGAGTCAAGAGAATTTACGAAGAATAACCTACAAAGTTTGTGCCGGCCCACCTGTGATCGAGGCAGTTTCTTACTGAATACGAAGATACGAAAAATGGCGTGCGAGAATAGGGCGCAGTCGCCGGCACACGTGCTTGTGTCCTGCCTTCTCTCCTATTGTGTATTACAGAGGAGAGGTAGTAGTAGTCTCTATTGCTGTATGTATACAGAAGTTCGAGTATGCATAGTAGCAATGAGCGTCTTTTGCAAGCGCGTCAAGCGCGCCGACAGCAGTACCTGCTACAGTGGGGTATACGGTTTAAGAGAGGGGTGTGCAGGACCAAGAAGACCTCTGCTAAACACGACCTCTCTTAATCCGATTAAAGAGAGGTTTTCTCTTATACTGGGATTTCGGTTTATCTTAAACTGAGCATATGGCTTGTTAAAGGGTCTAACCTGATCGAAGTGATGACAAATGTTTTTTTTTTGTTTTCCACAATAGATGTTCGTGCGTTATAGGCCCCCACCCGGCGTGGGTCCTCCTTATGGGTGGGTACAAAGCACAACAGCACAGCAGCAGTAGCAAAGAATGTGTAGTAATTCCGTGATCTCCAAGGTGAACAGCAGTGTATTCCGGCATGGGTGTTTCGTAAACAACAGTGTGTGTGTGTGGGGGGTGTACTCATAGTCGTGCATGCCGTAGTCGTTAGACCATTGACCTCGCACCCCTACAAAGCCGGGACGGAGCACGCCGGGTTCTCACCGGACCAGGCTCTCACATCACCAAGCGCGAAGCGCCGTGAGATATTCGGCGAGTCGCATGAAGGGTGCGCTGCATCCTGCTAAGGGTGTTCGGCATCTTGTGCTTACTTCCTTGCGTACGGATGACAGCTGCGTATGAATTAATTTATTTTCTGGTGCTTTCACTTCCAGAGACAGTTGTAAGCACTGTGTAACTGCCTCGAGGGTGCTTGACCATTTTAACACAACGTGGTGCGATCATCCCCCTTGCGCGGAGTGAGGGTTCTCCACCCCGCACAACATGATCTACTCGACCACCATTATGGTTACCGCCAAAAAAAAAACCGGAGGTAAAAAAAAAAACGGTAACCTGGTTGCCGAGTTCACGAAGTGAATTGGCTTGTTTGACAACGTCGTTGCCAAGCGACGAAACCCAATCCCGATGGCAAACACCGGGGGGGGCGGCTTGTTTTACAACGTCGTTGCCAAGCGACGAAAACCCAACCCCGATGGCAAACACCGGGGGGGGCGGGGCGTGCTCTTATGCTTTGCATGCCTTACTTAGCCGTTAGACCATTGACCACGCGTCCTCGAGAGGATGGAGCATTGTTCCCACAGGAGGACCGTTCACCGATGGCCAATCGTTCCTTTCTACTTTATTTGCCAATGGTGTCTCAAAAGTATTTTCCCTGCAGCATCAGTACAACAGTCTATTACCTTTTGATACGATTTCCCGCCTTGTCAACCCACTTCCTATGCCCCAGTACAGCTACCGCCTTCTCCCGGCCATTCCATGCCTCAAACATCTCCCTTTAATACAACCCCCTTCTACTTTTCCCAGCTCACTCATGCACACTTACGTCCTTCCTCTCTTTCTTGCATAACGGGCATTCTACACCTACTACATGAACCCGGTCTTCGCACTCGGAGCCGCAATGATATTTTTCAACTTGCTTGTCGTCTTCATCGTCTACGTTCATAAATCTTCGTCTACTCCCTCTATGGCCAATGTCCCCGGTCCTGAATTCGACCTTCAGTTTTGTCGTTCACCATCTCCACGCAGTAGGTAATCGTTGAACCTTGCCTTCTTTCAACATTCCGAACACATCTAGTCTACTAAACCCTACTTATCCTTGGTTGCTTTGGTTAGATTATCATGTTTTTTTCTCTCCTCAAGGGCAACACAGTGAGGGCCCCGCGGGCATCCGTGGGGACTGTTTGTCTCGCTCGCTATGATCACACGTACAACAGTAGTGGGGGACAGCTGGTACAGCAGTGGGGGCTACGGGTTAACTGGGATACAGGGGAGGGG